ATAACTTGGAAAGGACTCAGATACGAAAGCACACCTGTCAAAGGGGAGGCCAGGAATCAGAAGACAGATCCACATGTCAATGCTGGAGGGAACCTAGCCCAACAGGCAGGATCTGAAAGTTACGGTAACAGACATCAAGCAGGTAGTCACTGGGAAGGCAGAGAAGGGGGATTACATGATGTAACGGGCTTATTCCTAAAGGTGAGTAGGGCAGAGTGAAAGACAGATATTTGGAAATCCAGGGGGACATTAGCATCAGGAATACACTCTATGATCTGGTAGAACCACAGCTACTGGTCAAGCTCATGGGCAGGACTCCAGTTTTCAGGGGAAGATATTGTAATATCAAAGCCTGGTCCTGAAGGTAAAAGAGAACCAAGAATGTAACAAAGATTACAACTAGGGCATGGACAGCCAATAAGAACTGGATCTAGTTACAGGAACTTGGACGCCAAGTGGAGACTTGGTTTCAGGAGGAAGAAACCTGACTAGAAATGCCACTTGGCTAAACTGGCCACAAGTGTGACCTGGGCTAGACCACCTGATAGCTTCTTGCCTGGAGACAGACTAGGGCTGAACCTGCAGGTGGGGGATCAGTGGCCCCAGGTTTAGGGAGAGGAGGCTCTAGAGGCCAGGAATCTACATGTCAAGAGTACTAAGCAGCTCGCAATTCTACACCTGGTCCACTCACTCTGCAAGGCTTGCTCACATGCCTCTCTCAGCTGGAGATGCCTCTGTTATTTCTGTGAGCCTTCAGTCTTATCATAAAAGGGAATGAAATTATGCTGATGTGGCTTGCCCTCACTGTGGGAAGCTGGCTTCCAGTGATTACTTCTTCCTTTTTTAAGTGTTCATAGACTTGTGTTTCATAATCCATCCTAATTTTGCTGGGGATCAACATAAAATTCTAAACAAAGTGAAGAGAAGTTCAGAAAAGGGAGAGGAAGAGTCCATGACTGAGGAGAACATATGGGTAGTTTCAGGTGGTATTTTCTTTCACCCTTGAAAGATGAAGAGTAGATACCAGTTGGTGGAATGGGAGTGGAGAGAACATTCCAGTGTGAAGGAACATCTTAAGAACAGTCAGAGATGACTTTAAACTGTGGAGTCCATTCAGGCTCGGGTATAAAAAGTTAGACTGAAGAGAAGAGTAGAGTCAGATCCTTGAGGCCAGAGAATATGAACATGTGATGTAATGGGTGGTAACTGAAGGTATTTTTCTGACCAGAATGGAGCTTTAAAAAGAGTGATGTTGGGGCTGGCCCCGTGGCCGAGTGGTTGGGTTTGCGCGCTCCGCTGCAGGCGGCCCAGTGTTTCGTTGGTTCGAGTCCTGGGCGCGGACATGGCACTGCTCATCGGGCCATGCTGGGGCGGCGTCCCACATGCCGCAACTAGAAGGACCCACAACGAAGAATATACAACTATGTACTGGGGGGCCTTGGGGAGAAAAAGGAAAAAAAATAAAATCTTTAAAAAAAAAAAAAGAGTGATGTTAATAGTAAGAAAGCATCAGACAAACTTCAAATGAGGGGTAGTCTGTGTAATAACTGGCTTGTGTTCTTCAAAGTACTACTATCGTGAAAGATAAAGAAAGACTGAGAAATGATTCCAATGTAAACTGAATAAACGTGACAACTGAATGCAACAGGTGATTTGGAATTTTTTATTTATTTTTTTTAGCTATAAGGACATTATTGGGATAATTGACAAAATCTGAATAAAGTCCATATATTAGAAAATGGTACTGTTTCAATGTAATTCTAGATTTTGATAATTGTATTGTGGTTATATATGAGAATGTTCTTTTATGGGAAGTGTACACTGAAGCATTTAGGGGTAAAACGACATATATCTGGAACTGTCAACAGGTTCAGAAATATAGATATATGCACACATGCATATGGATGTGTATGTAATGTGGATGGCAACCGCACGTATACGGGGGATGTGTGTATCTATCTATCTATAGAGTGAGAGAGAATGAAAAAGCAAATATGACAAAATGTTAATATTTGGGGAATCTGGGTGAAAGGTATTCCAGAATTCTTTGTACTTTTCTGTGAATCTAAAATTATGTCAAAATAAAAATTAAAATAAAAAATAAAGCACACAATGTAGTGATGGAGTGGAGTGTAGTGACTGGTTAGGAAGCTCCCAATAGGCTAGTCCAGTCGTCTGGGTGAGAGGTGGCAAATGCCAGGTGGTGGCAGGACCAGACAGGAGGAGGAAGGGAGAGGCAGTCCACAGGTGCCCATCTTTGGCAACCCGATAGACATGAATGCAGCAGCTCAGTTTTCAAGTCAAGGTGCCAGAGACAATAGCATCTCCTTCACAGCTGGAAATGTTTAATTAGTGACCATGGTAGAGAGTTACTGATGAGATTTCAAAATAACAACTATAATTTCAGGAAAGAGGTGTGAACAGAATAACACAGACTGAGACTAGAATCACTGAACAGTTAATAGGTAAGTTGAACATTTTTTGTTGTTGTTAAAGTACCCAATTAAATCTAATTGTGGTCCAGCTGGTAGATTTTTATTTGCGCAATCAGCCAGAGAAGAATTGCATCAATTCCCAGTAAAGATGAAAAAAAGTTTGCTGAGTGGTGAAAGGGGAGAAGCAAGCCCCATAGCTGTAAGATAAGCTTTCGGAAGAGTGGAGGCGCTGGACGGGGCTGACCATCCCTCTCAGACTCACAGCCCCCCATAGAGCCTGGTGTCCTGCCCAGCTATCAGGCCACTCATGTGACCAGGCCAAATAAGAGAGGCCCCTGTTGACCAGAGCTTGCTGGTGCCCTCTTGACTGTACTTTCATATTGTTGATGAAATAATCCATAACCAATCTGTAAGTCAAAATTGGGTTGAGTTTATTATGAGCTATATCTGAGTACTAGCCTAGACTGGGGCCCTCCTTCCCCAAGGAAGGAAGGGCACCAAAGAAGTGGAGTGTACAGAGTGGTTATATACCCTTCTGGAACAAAGAGTATACATCACATATGATAGGAATGTCCCTTTTACAACAGTCATGAGATTGCCTCACTGGCACAACACAGCTATTCACACAAGCGGGTAGCAGGTCTATTGTCTGGAGCTGGGTGGTCACAGGGTGAACGTGGTAATCAATCCCTAGTCTAGAGAGAGATGCTTATCCTTGAGGAAATGCCAATGTGGGGGAAGATGCATCTTTATCTTAAGGACATTTGTTCTCGTCTTTGGGACATAGCAAATGCATAAAGCAGATATATAATGAGGCCCTTTTGGAAAAAACAAGGTCAGGCCAAATTAGGTTTACACCAAATGGTTTCCTCACATGCTCCAATATGCTACTGCTTGCCATTTGTTTGTCAGTATCCTGAAATGTTAAGCTTCCACCACCTCTGCTTTTCCCAACGAGTTTCTTCTCTTATCAATTATTGTGGTAGAATGTATTCTCTGTTTGCAGTTCCTCCTTCCCAGCCTTGTTCACCAAGGAGACTGCTCTACCAGTTGCCTCTGGACTGGGCCATGTGGAGGAGAGGACAGGTACAAGTTCTGAGTAGAGACATCGCCTGTTTCTGCTTCTCCCCTTGTCCTCCTGTCCTCTGCCGGAATCACCTGCCCTAGTTAATGACTGCTCTTTCAGCCTATTCCACGTGGACCTAAACCCTAGAGTAAGTCTGGACAAGCCCAGACAAGTCCAGCCAAGCTAAGCAGAGCCACAGTTGGCCCAACAGACATGTGGTGTAGAAATAAAGGTTTATTATTGTAACCACTGAGTTTGGGGGTTGTTTGCTACACAACATAATCACAACAAAAAAGTGATGAGTAGTTACATGTCTCTTGTCTACTTGGTTTGTAGCTTTTCTCTTACCCCTTGGGTATGATGCCTGTGAAGCCTTCTCCAGAACTGACCTCTGGCTTTTCTGCCCTCTCTGGCCTCCCCCTGTAAACCACCCTTACTCAATGGATCATATGGTTTCTGGTCACCCCACCTACAACTCTGACCTATCATGGCTGTACCTTGGTACTTGCATCCCCATTGAGTGTTTACAGGCCCACAGAACAAGAATTAGACATGAGGTAGACAATATTCAGAACACACTTTCCTCTTTAGAACACAACTGAAAAGGAGCAAAAAATGACTGGGAATAGAAGAAATCATAAATGCTCCCAAAGTTCATGTCCAAAGGCAGAAGTATATTACTCAGAGGAGAGTTCCTCACTCAAAGATGACATGCTTTTATATTGTATGCACTTTCAACAAACATGGCTAGATGGTTTGCAAGCCCACATCTGATTGAAGAAGAGGAGTGCTGTTGGGAGGGACACAAACATCAGTGAGAAGGGACAGCTAACATTCTGATGGAAAGAGAGAAGATAAAAATCTAAATGAGATATAAGAGAAAACAAAAAGCCCTGTGCCAAGTATCCCTCTATACCATGGGACAACTCTGCAGTACCGTAGATCAAAGTAACTGCTGGAATTTTCTTTTAAAACAGCATTTAGCTATCTGAATAAAATTGTTTTATGGGGGGAAAACCTCTCAAGTTAGTGGTGTCTAAATGTCGATGTACAGCTAAGCTTATTCGGAATGCTATTAGTAAAACATACAGAAATGAACTTCTGTTCAGTTGAATGCCTGCTAACTGACAGCACTCTATGTTTCCTTCTGAGTTTAAGTGGGTGGGAGCAGGGTAGGCTGCGGTGAACATTTGTAAACACAAAAGCAGTACTCAGTGTTTTCATTAAGAACAAGAAACTCTGAGTTTGCACATGCCCTTCCCTCCACTGTAATGTCTCCCCCACAGCTCCAACTCTAGCTTTCTTCTCTGGCCAACTCCTTTTCATCCTTCCATTCTCAGCCTAGAAACCATCCTCTGGGAAGCTTTCCCTAACTGCCCTCCCCTCTCCAATTTGAGTAAAGGATTCCCCCTAGCGCTGCCATAGCACATTCTATGCACTCCAGTCATGCATGATCTTTCTGACACTCTGTTGTACTCACCTGTTTAGATATGGGCGTCCACACTGGACTGTAACTCCTTGAAGGTGGGCACCATGTTTGTCCGGTGCCCCAGTGCTTCCTTCATGCCTGACAACCGGGAAACTCCCATATGTATTTGTTAAGTGAGTAATGCTCCCACCCAGGTAGTCATCCAGCCTCAGGGAATCAGGATCACAACCATGATAACAAAATGAAAATACTCATCACGTATTATTCTGACAGGAAGATTACTGAGTAACATTAGGTCAGATGGTTGCAGCTCTTCATGATGAGGTCAAGATTATAGGCCAAATTCTGGTAGACATGGACACAGACTTCACCTCGGGCTCTCTAAAGGTGTCATTCTCACTTGTGTCCCTGTTCACAGGAGGATTATTTGTATATGTTGTTGTGCTTCCCATCTAGTCCTGGGGCAGCAGGACAGGCCTGGGGGAAGAAAGAGAGATGAGAAAAAAAAAAAGATGATGTAGTCTGTCAGAAAGGGGCCGGCGTTGTACATTGAATTTCCAGTGACCCCGGGGGTATTAGAAAACCGTATTGGGCCAAAATGCTCCCCCAAAGAAAAACTTGTGAAGAGAAATCCTCTTTCAGACTCCAATCAAAGGATGCTTTTCTGGGCAATCAAAATGTCTTATAACTGTTGCTGACTGTAGATGAGTGATTCTAATTTTGTATAAAAACTCAGAAAACTTGAGAAATGAGAGGTGTCACATAAAACAGTTTGTTAGAATGGGAATTAGCAGCCTACAGGTCTAGTCTCTAGTCTGTTATTTTCACCAATTTCTGTGTGTACCTGACACAAGTCATGGAGTCTGCCTGGGTCAATATCCTCATCTGTGAGCAAGGAAGGTGGGCAAGATCGTCTCTGTTCTCTCCAGCGCTCCCTGCAGATCCCCCCAACACAATGTGTTCATCAGGATGATTAAGAGTTATTAAGAAAAGACCAAAATACTTGTTTTAGAAAAATAATGAAGTGGGAAAATGTTCGTGTTATACCTTTAAGTGAAAAGAGCAATTTACAAAATGGTATGTAGTGTGTTCCCAATTGCACATACACAAACACGCACACACGTATATGTTTGTGTGTATAAGTCTGTGTGGGTATGTGCATACAAAAATTTCACACATACAGAAAAATCATCAGACTAAGACAAAGCAGACTGTTTGCAGTGGTGGTGTTGGCGTTACTGCTATTTTATTCTTGGTGTGTTTTTGTAGTTTATAATTTTTCAGTAAAGTACAGTTTTCGCATTTTTAACTGGAGAAAACAATTTTTGTGAGTGTTCTCCTCTGATCATTAAATTAACATATGAATGGTCTAATAGGACTAATATTTTGTACCTATGTAATCGGAATTATAAAAATAGTTGAATGTTAAGGGCTATATTTGGAGCTTTGTAGGAACAAAGTGAACCATACTCTGTGCAAGTAAAATGAAAGTCATTTCCTATTCGACTCCAGATTATTAGAGTTGAACTACCAGTGAGAACTAAGGCAAGCCCCACCTGGACTGGGGCTTAGGACATTGTGTAAATTTCAGGAGTACATCATTATATTTCAGCCTCTGTATAGACTGCATCATGTTTACCACCAATAGTCTAGTTTCCATCCATCACCATACATTTATGTCCCTTTACCCCTTTTGCCCTTCCCCCACTCCCTTCCCCTCTGGTAATCGCCAATCTGTTCTCTTTATCTATGTGTTTGTTTGTTTGTTTGTTCATCTTCCACATATGAGTGAAGTCATACAGTACTTGTGTTTTTCTGTCTGACTTATTTTAGCATAATGTCCTCAGCGTCCATCCATGTTCTTGCAAATGGCACGATTTCATCCTTTTTTATGGCTGAGTAGTATTCCATTGTGTGTATATACCACATCTTCTTTATCCAGTCATCCTTTCATGGGCACTTGGGAACTGTACAGACTGCAGGCAGGGCACTGTACTCCTCTCTCCTTCTGAGCTGATCTCTGTGGTCCTCATTTGCACACAGATGCCACTTCTCTGCCCATCGTTTGAACCTTGGCATTTTCTACTCTGGTAAGTAATTAGCAGTTAGTGTGACAGTGTGATCCTATCACCAACCAGTTTCAGTCAAGCTGTTAAGGAAAATTCCAAACCTGAAGCTGAAGCGGTAAAGTGAGTGGAAGTAAGGAGGAGACAGCTCTGTGATGTGAACCCAGACAAGTAGGCGGATACTCTTTTGGCACAATAAGCTTCGAAAGTTAGGTGGAAGATTAGCTCCCACACAGAGATGTCTCCTTCTTTCTTTTTAAAACAGTATTATACCAAGAGAAAAAGAAAAATATGGTGAGCTGCTGCCTGGAGTCAGATCTCTTCACTGGAGTTCCTACCCTGCTCTTCCCTCAGGACCTGAAGCCCCTCCCTCCCTGTAGTAAACACTAGAAGCTTCAGCACAGAGCATGGTGTGATGCCAACAGCTTGAAGGTTTCAGAAGAGGTTAGGGGAACTCTCTCCCACACAACATATACCCGAGACTTCAAAGGATAAGAATCAATTAATCATCCATTGCTGGAACCAGAAAAATGGGGAAGGAGTAGTGAATATTTGTTGTTGATCTCAAATTACCAATTTCCTTGTAGTTAATTCATTTAATTTCATCTTTGTAATTCGATCACCTTTGTCAGCATTTGGCTAGGAATAGGCTGGTGACTGAATTCCACTAATGAGACTCAGGAGAAGTCTGAGGAGGGCTTTTGGGAGTGTCAAAGTTGACTTTAGCAGAGCCATTTTAAAATAGAGTCAGAGCAGCCATTTCAGAGGAAGTGCCTGCACATCTTACTCCATGAACCCTTGGACTGTTTGACCTGGGCCAGAACAGTTGTCTTGTAAACAACTGTTTGTAAAGCTAACGGGGAAACAGCCACCCGGACCATGAAGACTGATGATCATGGGCTCTGCTTCTGAAGACAGAATTGGTAACCAGCCATGTACAGCTAAAGAAGAACCCAGCTTATCGACACCTATAAAAGATGACTTTCCCTCCTTCCTTTCTTTTGCATGATTAGCCCCTTCCTTTCCCCATAAAAACTCTCCTCTTTCACCGTGTCATTGGCACACCACTTGAGTTTCTACCTGAATCTGTGCTTCCCAAATTGCAACTATTTGATCCCAAATAAATGCTTTGTCTCTTGGACTGGTTTCTGTTTTTTGCAGGTTGACAGAAAACACAGGAAGAAATGATGTCACTTCCTCAGGACCTTGTCATGTCTGTGTGTGACTCTTGGAGCTTCCTCAGTAGTCTTCTACCATCATAAGAGTTAGGACGACCCCAATGATAACAGACCAGAGGGATGGAACAAAACAGAACCAGGGCCTTAGTGGCATTGCTGAGCCACTGAATCAAACAAGCCTGAAGCCTCTGGATTAAAGCTATGGAAGAGAATGCATTTCCTTATTGTTCAGTCACTAGGAGTTGGGGAAGATGAAGAGGTCCTGGAGAGTGATTTGCTGTGGGGTGAGAGGGATACCCGCAAGACATCACCTTAAAGGGTGGACAGTGATGCTGAGCTCATGGGCGTGGAGCGTGGTGACTTAGGTAGACCAGGCCCACCTAGCCCTCTGCCTCCCTGACGAAATGGAGTTTGCAATCAATCAAAACTGAAAGAAAGAACTTTCTTTGGGGTTTCATGTGTGTTTTCTCAGCCAATATAACAGAATTACAAATAACTCAGACTATACTCATACGTACGAAGATGTAATTAATTTTCTATAAGCCTCCACCTTCACTAGGTACCAGAGAAACTTGCTAATTAACTTGCTATGAAGTTTCTGTCTTTCGGGTTTAAACAATCTCCTTTTAGTTCAGCAATCAGAATAGTCCAAGTTCGGTTTCCTATCAGGACTGGCATAAATCATATATTTTGGATGACTTGGTCTTTCCGGGTAAGTTCTCAGCCTTCCAGGGTGCTGCTCTACATACCTTCTCCTTCCTAAGAGTTGTATGAGGTACTGGGTTCCTGCGGTAGGTATCCTCTGGGGCCTGCTGGTCTCTGCTATAGTATGGCTCTTCTGACCTGCACCCTTAACCGGTAATCACTGTGATGTGACCAGTGCCACACGGCCTTCTCAGGTCATGTCCTGGTGCCCGTCCTTGGCGTCTGTGGTCCCAGCCACCTGCCCCATCATGAAGACCCCTCTCATAGGAGCCTAGGAGCCTCCTCATCCCGCTGGTGCCTGGCTCTGCCAGCACTTCCCATCCCTGCAGCGGGGCATACAGGCATCTCTGCAGGCAAGGTGAGGCCAGCAGGGAGCCAGGAGCACTGCCCCAGGCTCGCCGGTCCAGTCGGCTCCCTCTGCTCAATCATTCCAATGTCATGTTGGGTGTGGAGCCAGGCAGAGGGCCAGGGCTCCCAAGAAACCTGTAACCTTCTTCAGGCTTCTTGCCGGAAGGCAGCCCTGAGCCCCAGGATTGTGGATGCCTCAATATCTACCTTAGCATTCCTTTACTCTCAGTCGCTCAAGGCTTGGGCTCCAGATGAGGAGAAAGTGCTCCTGGACCTACTTGCTATTCATTTCTTCTTTTCACAGACCTGACAGTGTTGAAAAGTTCAGGCTCCTCACATCCACGTCTTATCTCACGGGCCTTCCCCGACCTGAGGCTCTAAGGTCAAGGCCACTGGACATTGATCTGTTAAAGAAGGGACATTTGGAATTTAGAAATCCCTTCTCTACCTCCATAAAGATTTGCTTTTAACATTTTTGAATTTACTAAACTGCTTAAGCAAGAACCCCTCAGATTTGAAATTCAATTGGCTTCTTTTTTTCTGTGAGGTATCAACCTTTTCCTTGTATGTTACAATGTGCCTCAAGGTTGCTTAGAGGTAGGAAGCCACAAAGTATTGGTCTCAAAGAAAGATGACAAGAAATCAGTTATATTGGTCTGTCTATAGATAACCATATAATTATATAATTATATACCTACATATATGAGCCACACTCATGGTAGAGAATGAATGGAGACACCTGGGGGACCAGCCACCAGCTACCTAGCTACCCAGAGTACATTGTCATTCTCTCCCCTTGTCTGCAGCCCCATTGCCAAGATAAGAAACACAGGTTATCTGGGCTGTTTGCTCACCTACAAATCCTTCCTGAATGATTTGATGAACAGTTAAAATTAGTCTTGCAGATTTCTATTTCTCTCCACTGTTCTATTAAGGAATTAAATTGGAAAGCCTGCAAGATAATCTTTGAATAAATACTATTTAAATGAAGAAGAGTCTGTAACATTGTCTAATTAAATCTCAAATTAAGCCTAGAAAATAAGGAAGGCCATGTTTGTGGGGGAATTGAGCTGGAATAGACCCAATATTAAAATCACCATAGCAATGGCAAAGCACACACCGAACTTGAGATACCCTTGGCCCAGGAAAGTGTATGGTCATAAGAAAAACAGAGAAAAGT